GATCAGTCCATCTTCACGCTGGATCGCTTCATCAACCGCCTGAGAGGCTTCTCCGGGGATGGCGACGTTGCGCTTGCTGCGACGGCGCGGGGGCTCTCGCTCGACAGTGGCGCTACCGCCGTAGAACGGGTTGTCCTCACTCCGATCGACTTCGGGAACGCGGTCTTGGGAATCGGTGAAAATTTCAATCGGCTCCTCAACTTCCTCGGCAACAAAGCTCTCCAGCGAATTACCAGAGTACTTCTTGGGGACGCGCTTCCTTCTAGGGCTGACCAAAGCCTCCTCGTCGTTGTGGAACAGGTTGCGGGCGACGGAGCGGATATGGGCCGTCTGCTTCTCGTTGGGTGCCTTCTTGGGAGTCTTGGCTGGTGTGGGCAGCATGCCGGAGCGACGAGTGACGGAAGGAGCAGGAGCTTGGTGCTCCATCTTGTCAATACCAAGCGACGAGGCGGCTTGGGTTGCGCTCTCGACGGTCAGAAATCCGGATGCACGACGAACGGAGTCTTGGGCGGGCTGGCGCTTCTTCTGAGGGGTGGCGGTAGGCGACATGATTGACGCAGCTGCGGCAGCGGAAGGCGCGACGGCTTTGCGGGTGGTTCGAGGAGGAGTGCGGTGGGATGAGGGTTGGGGAGAAGGGGTTCGGTGGGCGGCTCGTCGAGATGAAATTCGCGCCGACTTGCGAGGAGAGTAAGGTTCCCAGTTATCGCTCCAGCCGTGTTTGGGGGTCGGTGGTGTTCGGATGGAGGATGGGGGAGGTGAAGGTGTTGATGCTGCGAAGGTCGCCATTTTGGATTCGTGGGTGTGAGGGTTGGCAGGCACCCTGATGCTCAATGGGCTGCTCCTTCCTTTTTACTTTTTCTTTGAGGTTGTCAATCGCTCTTTCCCGTCTTGGTGGCGAATGCGCGCGCGCGTTCAGGTGTCGCAAAGCGATGAAAGACGTCCAGTGTGGTCGGTGCCTTGGGAGGATGAGGTGAGGTAGCACCCGGTTGATTCGAGTACCTTACTCTTAGAAGACTCTAGCGGTCAGAGTATAAAGAGCTTAGTTCAACTGATTATTTTTGACAATACTACGCAATCGCAGTAAGGATAAAATGCCGAAGTTCGCGATTCCTCTGGTTGCTCTGACTACAAGAGATACAAGTAAGAAGTGGATGTGTGGATGGAATGGAGGATGTTCGCGATCATGGGGCGGCGGCAGTTGGGATGGATGCAAAAGGAAACGGTCAAGTCACAGAACGTGGGAGGCTGGAGTGGGAAAAGTAAAGGCTGGGAGGGGACTGCGACCGACCCTTTCAGAACGTGCGCCCATGTCCAATGAAGTGGGCAGTGGGCAGCCCAATCCAGCGACTTCTTTTTTTTTTTTTTTTTTTTTTTTGGNTTTTTTTTTTTTTTTTTTTTTTTTTTTTTGGCAGCGCACCAGCCACCAGCCACCAAGTTTTACAGCGACGAACACTGAGGCTTGAGGGGACAGACAGCTCATTTTCTGCGCAAATTAAGCGAGGCCCCACCACGGCGGCGGAGACGCGTCGCACCTCCTGAAAAGCGCGTCTTTTCGCGTATCGTACACACAGTCGAGCCGGCCCAAACAACACTAACGCTAAAGTGCCCATTGGGCCTGCAGGGGTCTTCTCTGCCCCTCACCCCATCCCACATTTCCACCCAAACAGCCCGGACACGAAGCGGCACTCCAATCCCAAAGTCTGATTCCATCAACAAATAACGTCACCGCCGCCGTTCCGTCTCAGGCACAGACAGCCCCAGACCGCGCTCTCGCAGAACCGTCACCATCGGCGCATTACCACCTGCACCTGCACCCGCACCCGCACCCGCACTTGCAGCTGCGGCCAGACCCGGGCACCGACCGGCGCAACATCCATCATGGCCGACAACATGGACGACTCCCTCACCGAGGACATCTGGGCGTCGCCTGGCCCAGACGGTCAAGCCCCCCCATCCTCCGACCGGCCCAAGACCCCTGCCACACCGAAAACTCCCAAAACTCCTAAGACGCCAAAGACACCTGCGAACCAACCTACCGCGCATGACAGAGAGGCCGCCTTGCGCAAGGAGCTGGAGGGTGTCCGCAATATCAACGCCGCAATTGAGGGCATCATCACCACTCTTGACAAGGCCAAGGGGAACATGAACGTATGTGTTGCTGCTGACTCCTTCGTTCCTGGTCTGTCGCTGACTTTAAACTCGTAGACCGTCTCCGGCACCGTCTCGAACGCGTCCACTCTCCTTAATACTTGGACCCGCATCCTCTCTCAAACCGAACACAACCAGCGACTAATCCTCAACCCGAACTGGCGCGGCGCAAGCAACGACTTGGTAGAAGTCGAAGCCGAGGCTTTGCACAAGCAACAGCAAGCTGAGAGGCGGGCGGCGGAAGAGGAAAGGCGACGTGAGGCTGTCCGACGAAAGCGTGAGGAGGAAGAGGAAGAGCGGCAGAGACAAGCGGCTGTTGGCACCACATCTCGTGGCCGAGGAGTGACCCGCGGGGTCTCTCGTGGGCGGGTTCGTGGCACAAGTACGACGACCACGCGCGGCCACACCTATTCCAGTAGCACATCGAGAATCGGCAGGGGCGCTCCGAGTGTTCGCGGTGGATATCGGGGACGGGCTAGAGGTACGGAGTAGTGTTGGACGACTTTTTGTTTGTGCATGAGTACCGATACCCTGAAATGCATGCTGGCGGTCCACTGCAGACCAGCCTATTTCTTCTTGAAGAAGTCGCTCATCTTCTTCATGCCCTTAGTGTTGACCTTCTCCAAAGCTCTGACTCCGCGGCTTTGGGTGGCTTTCCGTTTCTTCTCCTCCTCCATCTTTCTCTTCTTGTCAGCACGTGCCTCTTCCTCCTCCTCATCCATCATTCGCTTCCTGGAGTAGTCGGCCATTGATCTAGACGATGCGGCTTCGGCGCGTAGTTTGGCAAGTTGAGCCAAGTAGTCATCCAGAGGGGTGAAGTCGACGCTGGTCGTCTCCTGGTCAGCCAGGATTGGCCTCAGCATCGCGGTCATCCCAGGCGCGATATAGCTGGAACAGATGAAATTGAATGCGACCTTGAGTCTCTGAAGATTGGTGACCTCCTCAGATGCTTGGATGGCACTGACGATGGTCTCTTCCACGACTTCGCTGATAGATGTTGCGGCTGTCGAAGTCGACACAGCTGATTGTGTACTGTCCACCGTAGAAACGGACATCTGAGACTCGCCTGATTCATTCTTGGTGGAATCTTGGGATCCATCCGTCGCTCCATCGGCAGCCGATTTGGCTTCCACTGTCACCGCTTGTGATCTTTGTACTTGAATAGGTGCCTCCAAGGCCTTCTTCACAAACTTTTCCTCCATACTGTTCGGAAGGCTTTTGGAGCTCATCGCTTTCGCTTTTGACAGAATCTCGTTGACAAGCTTCTTCTCGCTCAGTCGGTACATATTCTCGTCACCAGCATCGACGGTGTCGCAGACCGTTTCCATTCGTGACTCGAGAAGTGCGCGGGTTTTTGGGCATCGTAGAGCCTCGGCCATATGGGAGGACGACGAAGAAACGGCGTCGAAGTGGTCATCGCTGGAGAGGAAGAGGCGTTTCGATTCGGTAGACTTTGCGCTGGCAGGGCCGAAAAGGCCGGGAAGCAGGATGAAGATGGGATCAATAGGAGTCGCAATGAAGAGGTCAGCGCCATTGGTGACCTGCGCCTGGAGTTGTGAAGTGTCTCCTTCATTTGACTTCTCCAAATCGCCGGTGGGTGTCTCGATCATCCAGCTCCTCGGGCTGGTCTTGGGTGCTGCGATCTTGGTGAACTCGTAGATGCCCGTGTCTGGGCAGAGCAGATACCGTGTAGGTTTCGAGTATCTGGGATTAGGGAGAGAGACTATGCGAGCCTCTTGGGTAGCCTTGGTAGGAATGATGAACAGCTTGGGTGCGCTCGACGACTCCTCTGGCAGACTGTACTTGGCCGTTGTTGAGGCATTGCTTGCCTCCGTCTTCGCCGCCGGAGCGGATTTGGTTGATCTGGTTCTCGCCATTGGCTGTGACCTAAAGATTCTGCTGTGTGCGACTAGCAGCTCTTGAATACCAGAGATGCCAAATCCGAGAAACCCAGAACGAAGAACAATCGAGAATAGATGAAGCAGACGTGTCGGCAATTTGATAGCGAACAATCCGACCTGTAGGCCAGTGCTGAGCGTGGATAGGTCGCGGATCGAGGTACAAAGTGACTTGTGAACCCCTGCGCTTAGACGCGCCAGAACGCGACGGACTGATCTCAATTAAAAGTGGAACGCGTTGTTCAGGGTCATTCGCGACAGTGACCAATGGCGGCTGCCCAAACACTCGCATCACTCCACGTCAAACTCCTCTTCTCAGCCTAGCCCGCAGGCTTATCGTGACGACAAGTTCAGATGCGACAGTCGATAACGATCGAGACCTGCTTGCCCATCCTTCTCATGCCTTAGCTAGCACACATCTTTTCGTCATTTTTGCGGCACCGAACGCCGACGTCGCTCCTTTAGCCGCCTATCTTGTTTACATTGAACTCTTACGCCTTTCCTTTGTTCTCTGAATGCGAGTGTTTGTTTGCCGGCACAGACCCCTCCCGTAAACCACCAACCGAGTCTTGCGCCCGATTTCGAAGCTGAACAGCCCGGTCGGCGGGTCATGGGCCTTGTGGCGTTAAAGCTCCGTCAAGTCGCCTTGCCCTGGAATGTACCAAGGTGACCATCGCGCCGACGACCGCCTGCACTGTGACCTACTAGCAATATGCCTCCTGGTTCGTTACCCCGAGAGCGTCTGGCGAACGAGACCGTAACATTCCCACAGGTGCCCCACACGATGAGCCTCAATGGCCTCCCCGATCACCCCATGAAGCCCTCATCAGCACACCCGGCGGGCGCGAACGACTGAGACGGCTTGCGAACCGAACCTCTCCCTCTCCGTCACCACTCAAGAGGGGGCGATCCATGTCCGCCTTATCGTCAAGGTCGGCCGCATTGCGAGACGAGATGAACGACCAAGAGGAGGAGGAGGACGAGGAAACCCTACAGCTCAAGTTGCAGGAGATCCAGGCCAGGTTAAAGCTCAAGAAACTTCAGAGCGCAAGGGAGAAGACAGCTGTGCCCCCATCGCCCAGGCGCAGATCACCACCACCACAACCAAGACCATCCTCGAGAATATTTGGACAGGGCGCGGGCCGAGCTGCCGCCAGGCCTTTGTCACTTCCCGCCGCCCCAAATATTGAGGTGCCTGTCTCCCCAACAAGAAAGGCCCCGCCCCCTCAACCACAAACTTCACCAAGTCGGGTTCTTCTGGGAATAGACAAGGGACTGAGAGCGAAAGACATCTCGTTGAAAAGAGCTCCAAGTGCGCTGCGCAGAAGGCAAGATGGAGAACAACAATTTGGCGGCTACCTCCAGAGGTCAAGGACCCCCGGACCCCAACCCACGTCTGAAATATCTCGGCCGCTGAGTTTCAACGAGAGGTTAGCTGCAGCAAGGACAACAGAGCAGGATCGGCAAGGTTTAAGAGACAGGGTCCAAAAGGTCAGGTCCAATGCATTTGATATTGGACGGAAGGAGATGGACGAATACAAATCAAAGGCCGTCGACCTACCCGACCAACCCGACGCAGCGCCACAGTTCACACGAGAAGAAATCCTCGGTTTGGAGCCCAAGATCGAGCAAGCACCAAGAGACGGGCAACTAGCTCTCCCGGCACCGCCATCAACATCCGTAGATGGACCCCAGGGCCTTTATCAACCACCGCCTGACTGGATGTTGCCACAATCGAAGCCAGCGAAGCCTAAGAAGCTAGCACCTGCAGATGTCCCCGAATCCGAAGCTTCGGCATTCGAGCCGTATTCTAGCTTCCACCTTTCGCAGCGCATTCTGCCACACCAGGTCCTAACCAGGCACCTCTCTGAGAAAAAGATTTTCAAGTTACCAGATTTACTCCGCAAAGTCAAGGGGCCCGAGTTTCAGCTTCCAGATATCGAGCAAGATATCGTCGTCTTCGCCATTGTGGCCAAAAAGTCGGAACCACGCTCGCATAAACCCAGACCGGACCAAAAAGGGAAACAGACAGACAAGGGCAAATACATGGTGATTACGCTATGTGATTTGAAGTGGGAGCTTGAGCTATTCCTCTTTAACTCGGGGTTCACTCGGTTCTGGAAGGTCACAGAAGGCACCGTGCTGGCAATCTTGAATCCTACGATCATGCCGCCACCGGTCGGCCGCGAAGCCACTGGTCGTTTCAGTCTGGTCATCAACTCGGATGCCGACACAATCATGGAAGTAGGGAAGGCTCGGGATCTGGGCTTCTGCAAATCCATCAAGAAGGACGGCGAGTACTGCAATTCGTGGGTTAACAAGAAACGAACAGAGTTCTGCGAGTTTCATACCAACGAGGCAGTCTCCAAGCAACGCGCAGCACGCATCGAGATCGGCACCATGGATTTCGGCATGAGTGGTGCAGAGAAATGGCGAATGAACTCTCGTTACGTCCCCAAGCCCCCTACCGCGGCAGAACAGAAGAAGAGCCAATACGACAGGGAAACCCATAGCCATTGGTTTGCCACGAAATCCATGAGCGCGGCACAGCTTATAGACGGTGCCCAGGCTCTCGCGGATCGGAGGGAGAAAGAAGAGGGGCTTAAGAAGCGGATGCTTCAACAAGAGCGAGAACGCGGAATCATGCAGCGCTTGGGCAAGATCGGCACCGGTGCTGGAAGGGATTATATGAAAAAGACAGAACGTGGTCCTGCTTCCAGTGTATCCGCTTCCTTCCCCCCGCCGGGACCGTCGTCATCCAACGCCATTGAAGAAGAAGCGAAGCCCGATGCTAAAGCTTTGGGTCTGGTAGGATCGAGGAGTAGGGACCTCGCGATCCACCTGAGCCCTATAAAACGCAAGAGGCCGCAGAGCGCGCAATCCAGCTCTTCGGTCGGAGCTCCAGCATCAGCAACAACTGGCGCGAAGTCTGGTTTCGGTTGGGGTGGCAACCTCAAGGACAAGCTGAGCAAGATGAAGGAGGGCGAAAAGTTGAGCAACGACAAACCACCGGTCCGGAAAAAGACGAGATTCGTGACGGAGAAAGGCATTCGCGAAGCTGGGAGGGAGAGCTTGGGGATGGACCTGCCACAGACAGTTTCCTTTGAAGATGATGATGACGACTTGGTTATTCTTCGGTGAGATTGGGCAGCATTGGGATTTGGGTATGGCTTGTGAACGGCCGGACGGAAGCACGGTGTCAGGGATAACGGCTCCTGGATGGAGTCTACTCGAAGCGATCATGGGTACATTTATGGTCCGAAAAACAGAACCAAGAATAGAATTTGACGTCCTCAAGACGATCGATCGATCACCCCACACTGCTCGCCTAGCCCTGCTCTTGCGTGACCAACGCATGTGCTGTGGCAAGCAGCGAAAAGCATTCCATGACACCAACCATGATTTTGAGCAAGATGTGGATGTACTCAAATGTTCCCAGTCAAGTGCCTCAGGACTTGGACGCTGCCACATAACTAGGCGGCCTTGCTTCCTTGCTCTTTCCCCAGTCAGATTCCTTGTCGCCCAAAGTAAGTTCCAGAGTCCGTCCTTGGCTGAAGAAGTCATGCCCAATCCAACTTCTGTTGTACGCGTGCCCGTCCAGCTTGGCGCTTTGCACGTAAATGTTTTTGTAAGCCGGATCGAACCCCACGCACTTCACTGTAGCATTTTTGCCCGTCAGTGGACTCTTGACGGCGATTTCTTCGAAGAAAGGTGGTGTGATGAGATACACGTTTTGTCCGGCGACAGGGAATAGACCCATGACGGAGAAGGCGAGGAACGCCCCCATGGCACCAGAGTCGTCGTTGCCAGGCAGGCCGCCGCGGGTAGAGTTGAAGGCAGACGGTATGTACTGATGAGTGCGTTCCGCCGAGAGGCCGGGCCGTCCCGCATAATGATACAGGTACACCGTAAGAAACACTGGCTCGTTGGAGATGTCTGCGAGAGGGGACGCGTGGAAGTAGTTCAGACGGGAGACGAATGCGTCATCGCCGCCCATCATGTCGATGAGGGTTGACGTCGCATGAGGCACGATGCTACAAGAGGTCAGTTTGACGTGACTGGGTTAGGGCCTGGTGCGTACAACTGATACTGCCAGATGCTCGCTTCGAACGTCTCACTGGGATTTGTCGTCAAGGAACAAAATCCAGCAAGAGTAGAGCAGGCAATCGGATCCTGGAAACCCCAGGTCCCATTCATGTACTTTGGCTGGAAGAAGCCGTTGAAGTTGGTGTCGGTGCCATTTATCAGTGATTTTTGGTCCAACTTCCACAGATTTTGCCAGTTCATGCTTCTTGTCATGTATTTATCGTGGGCTGTGCCCTCGTTCAAACCCTGAGCTAGCGTCGCCAAACAAAAGTCATTGTATGAATACTCCAACGTCCTCGAGATGCTCCTTGAGTTTGTACCGAAGCCGATGGGATCGAAGTCGAGATACGGGATGTAGTTGAGGTTCTTCCAGCTCGTCAGTCCGCCGCGACCTTGGTAGGACCACTCCAGGGGCTCCTCTTCTGCGTCCTTCGTAATGGCCTCCAGAGCCAGTTTCCAGTCTATCGAGGTTAAATTCTTGACATAGGCATCGACGAGGACTATATCGGCGTTGGAGCCGCCCTGCGTCCAGCCTTTACAAAGAGACATACGGCAATCGGGGAGCCAGCCTTCGTGTTTGTATATGTCCAGCAGAGAATTGACCATCTGTGTCTGCGCTACCGGATCGATGACGGTAAGCAATGGATGCTGGACGCGGAAACTGTCCCACATGCTGCTTGCAATCAGCACAGATTTCTAGAAGACGAGTTTTGACGCACCAGTAGTATGAATCAAAATACGGGACACCACTATCCCAATTGGGGTTCTCGCTAGTGTAGTTCTGAGGGGAGATCATGTTGCGATACAACCCGCTCCAGAAACTTCTCTGAAGATCATCCGTCGCACCGCCCGCCTTGATCGACACTGGGCTCAACTTCTCCCTCCATGCGTCTTTGGCTGACCCGACTAACGAGTGGAAGTTACTCAGGGGATCAGGAATCTCTCGCTCAGCATTTTGACACGCCTGTCCGCTGCTCTTGAATGAGACACCCACTCTTGCGGTGACCGTGTTGTTAGTGAGTTCCTTGAACCGGACGAAACCTCCCCCCTCGAGGTAGAACAGGTTGAAGCCTCTCGTGATGAATAGCTCCTTCGGTTCGTTACCCGCGCGGTTGTTCACCCATACCCCCGTGTCGAAGACCTTGGCCCCAAAGAAGTCGACGCAATAGTGCATGACATACGACCCGGCGCCGAAGCTAGGCAGGAACGTGCCGTTTCCCGTCATCCGTCCTGTGGGTGTATCAATCTTGATTGAGGCGTTCTGACGGCTCGCCCAAAGATCCGTCAAATCCAACATCACAAGCGGATGCTCGTTACCAATGGGAAATGTGAACCGCAAGAGCGCCGCATGCTCAGAGACGGTCATGTCCGCCTTCACACCTGACACCATGTCCACCGAGAAATACCCTGGCTCGGCCACCGTCTTGTTCAAATCATATTTGGTTGCCCGGTCTCCGATTCGAAAGCGGCAGTTATTGAGCTCATCACCTGGACACACTTGCGGGAACAGCGGGAAGTTGCCCAGACTGGGGTTGCCTCCGGTGCCGCTGTCATGGACAATGCTGAAGCCGGTGATGTTGCTGCCGTCGGTTGCAAAGCCACCAGTCTTTTCGCCGTCGACGTCGGCGACGGCTTTGGCGAGCCCATAAGGCCGTGTAGCGCCGGCGAATACGTTGCCGCCTCGCTGAGAGCCGATGAAGGGGTCGACAAAGGTTAGAGGATCGAATGACTGAGAGACAACTGCAGCACCAAGAGTAACGAGAGAGACTAGTGAGAGTTGAATCCTGCGCATGACGAAGAAGACATGAGATGAACTGTAGGACAGAGTTAATGTAGATGGTTCATCCGCGGGAAGTCAAGCCTCTCATTTGAGACCAGTCGAATTCCGCTGAAGAGAAGAGGAAGAGCGCAATCAGAACTGAGGACTGTAAATGTCAGTGATTCAGTTGACCATCTCCTCACGTCCTGCAAAGTAGCACGACGCGCGGAGATCCCGGCTACGTGCTGGTAGCTGGCCAAACTTTACTTACTCGACCCCGCGCGTGTGCTCTATGCGGTAGGTGGTAGTCTGGTGATCCTTGATGGCGCGGGAATAAACATCAACGAACACCGAATTGTCGATCACTGGCCAGTATGCGCCGTGTTGACCTGCAGCTCTAGCCAGTCCAATGTCCGGATCTCCGTGTATGCATGGCGGACATGGCGGCGCACGGTATTTGGAGGTGCATCGTCGGAAGATTTGAGAGGTTCGATATCGCAGTCGAAGTGGCGTCTGTGGGGTGAATGCTTTCCCGTCAGGTTCTCACGAACTCATCGTCTTATACCATTCCCGTGTACCCGTTGAACGAAACAGCCAAATTGTTTCGTTTGGACGTTGTTTGGAGACAGGAGGAGCTTGAATAAACTAAGGTGTTGGGGGGCTAGGGAACCACTCCCCCCGGCCTTAGCTAGAATTACAGGGGTAGCTTAGCCGAGAGACATGGAGTGGAGGAAGGTACCGACCCACGACAGTTACTTCCTAGTCAGGGTTCCTGTAGCATATGGCGGTTTTCTTCCCTCATCTGCTCAGTCGTTGATTTGCAGATTCATCATGGCTAGACATGGGATTCAGTATGCTTGGGAGTCTTTCGTCTGAACATCGTCTTACTGATTCAGACAGATGAACCTTGGTCGAGTTTCTACGCATCCGTGCCTTAGTGTTAAATGTAGAAGGGGGCCCCTTGAGGCAGGCGCCCGAAACACCCAATGCTCCAGCTTGGCCCCCGGCAAACTGCCCCAAGGATGGAGAAGGACACATGGAGCTTCGCGATTTCAAACATCTTGAGCTCCTCAGCCCATTGTCTGTTCTTTGATCTTCCGGCTTTCCTTTTTCCTTCGTCTTCTTTTTGCAAAACGGGTTTGAGTCGTCATTTACTTCCTCTCGAACAACTGTCAAGATGCTGGACATCTACCAGCTGAATCTCACGGGCCTTCTGGCGGCCTGTGGCGCTCTCTTCGCCTCAAGCAACACTGATAAACCCGTCAAAAAGGATGAGAAGAGCGCGAAACAACAAAAGAAAGAGAAACCCCAGCAAGGATCGCAATGGGCGTTCTACGTCGTTTACGCTCTCGTCATGGGCTCGGATTGGCTTCAGGTAAATCAGTACCAACCAGTCAATTAATCTTACCTGTCTGACACGATCACAAGGGCCCATTTCTCTACTCTCTGTACAAGAATGAGCACGGCATCTCCTCAGACCTTGTCCCGACGCTTTTCACGACAGGATTTGTCTCTGGAGCTGTAGCCGGCTACTTCATCGGCTCCCTGGCCGACCGTCACGGCCGCAAGGCGAGCTGTCTCTTCTTCTGCGCTGCTTACGCCCTCTCATGCCTTCTCACCACCATCCCGAGCCTGCCACTACTCTTCGTCGGCCGCGTCCTCGGAGGTCTCGGGACCAGTCTTCTCTTCAGTGTCTTTGAGAGTTGGATGGTTACCGACTTTCACGCCCGTCGTCTCGGGGAGAAAGGTCTGGACCTGTCGCGAACTTTCGGCTTCATGAGCACCGTCAACAGCATTGTGGCCATTATCAGCGGCGTTGCCAGCGAGTGGCTCGTTTCCATTACCGGAACGCGCAAGTCGCCATTTCTCGCTAGCATTGGATTGCTCGTGCTAGCCGCCGGGATCATTACTAGCCAATGGGTAAGACTCCTGTCACTGCGCAGATCTTGGTACTTGGTCTAATGGGTGTTTAGGACGAGAACTACGGTTCCACGGGCCAAAGTTTGTCCAAAGAGGCTTCCAAGGGAAAGAAATCCAGCCTGTGGACCACGATGACTGACAAGCGCGTACTCACCATCGGTCTCGCGTCAACAATGTTCGAGGGTTCCATGTATCTCTTTGTAGTTCTCTGGAGTCCCGTCCTCGTCGCCGCCTCCTCCTCTCCGGACACCCTGCCTTACGGCATCATCTTCGCTGCCTTCATGGCCTCGACTCTACTCGCCTCCCTCTTGTATCCTCGCCTGTCTGCCATGGTCTCAACTCCGTCTCGTTTGCTGTTCGCAGTCTTACTAGCAGC